AAACACACTCGTATACTAAACTTACTCGTATACTTAACATACTCGTATACTAAGTACACTCTTATACTAAACACACTCGTATACTAAACACACTTTTATACTAAACACACTCTTGTACTAAACACTTGTATACTTAACACACTCGTATACTAAACACATTTGTATACTACTAACCACACTCGTATACTACTAACCACACTCGTATACTAAACACACTCGTATACTACTAAGCACACTCGTATACTCGTATAGTATTCGTGGGTAGGCTCATTTACCGAGCTCGTACATAGTATCTGTCCCATAGTGAACCGTTAAATTGATTTTTTATGATTCTGAATACACTTCTAAATCGGATCTTTTATAATCCTGAATCCACAGTTAAATAGGATCATTTATGATCCAAAATCTACGGTTGAATTCGTTTTTTCATGATCCTGAATCCACAGTCAAATTGAATTTCTTCATGAATTTGAATCCATTACAGATGCGACGAGGGTTACTGGCGGAGTACTCTGTCGGACTTGAAGTGCAACGGGTGCCGACCGACGAGTGCGTGCAAAGTGGTGAAGGCCAATTGCTCAGAATCAGCCAACACGGTGTGCGAAAGCTGTCCCTCGGGCAAATACGGTAGGTGTCAATGTGGTATGCACAGTAAGATGACTCCAGTATGAGTGTATATATGTATGTATGTACGCGTGTGTATGTATGTATGTATGTATGTATGTATGTATGTATGTATGTATGTATGTATGTATGTATGTATGCGTGCGTGCGTGCGTGTATAAATGTACGCATGTATGAATGGTAAGTACATATATGCACTTCTTATGTTTACAGGGTGGGTCAGTAGCGATAAGCAGTGACAGTGAAGTCCCGCGTGATCTGATTGATATAGCCCGTGTTAATGTGAGGAGAACCCCGATACTATTGCCGGATAATGCACTCACTCCTCTTTTACGCACATATATACCACCCACTGTCTTGGCTGTTGTTTTTTTAGTTGTTTTCTTAGCGGCTCATTCACCCGGCCGCGCTTACTTCACAACTCATTGTTGTTTTTAATGTGTGGCCATTCATTTGTATCTCTTTCTATATATATATAATCTTAGTTCCCCTGTATGTAGGTAAATGCCACGTGTCCTGTGCATTGCCCCACCCCCCCCGCCCCATCCCACATTCACACACATCTCTCCATCTTCCCCACTACACATGTGTCTCCTCCCATAGGTGTGCTGTGTGACCAGGCGCGGCTGAACATCACACAGAGCATGGACTTTGCCACCTACACGTCCGAGGACTCGGAGAATCTGCGCATTGGGCTGCTGACTGTGTTGGGTGTCACCAATGCCACGGAGTCTGTCTATGTGTACAAGTTCTACCCGGGCAGTACCATTGTGGATGTGTCCATCCAGGAAGATCAGGTAGGGATAGGTCAGGTTTGGTTTGGTTTGGTTTAGATTTTATTGGATCGTAATGGATTGGACTCCGTGTGTGTAGGTGTGTCTCTGTGTGTAGGTGTGTCTGTGTGGGTGTGGGTGTGGGTGTGTACTGTCTTGTGCATTTAGTCGACATCTTCTGCAAAGACAGACTGTTTAAGCATATGTCCAGTTTGTCATTTGACTGTCAGTTCATTCCTCCGCCCCACCCATTAGCCTCCTAGTTCGGTTTACTGCAATCATATGCCCTGACCATGACCATGCGACTGAGCCGTTCTCATTGGTCGATCTATTTATATATGTGTTTCTGTTGGCTGGCAGGCTGATCTGAGTTTTATACATATATATACATATTAGCACCCCAATACTGGATTCGTAGTATACTCGCATATTTTTGTTCTGTTTGTCTCGCTGACTAAATGCACAATACGGCACACACACACACACACACACACACACACACACACACACACACACACACACACACACACACACACACACACACACACACACACACACACACACACA